CATCGTCGGCACCCTTGGCGTCGATAGCTATGCATTGCACTACCTCGTTATTGAAATGAATACGGCGCCTCCCGCTAGGAGAGGCCACCCCAGACGACTCTTTGGTAGAGGCATAACTGAGCGGAACATCCGGAAGGTTGGCTGACGACGGAGTGAGACGAGGTCCAAGTTCGGGTCTTGAGACAGAAGGCCGAGTCCTATAAGAAGCAGCCTCTTGCGCCTTTAGGATAGCGCCTGCGTGTTGCAGGAGGGTGTGCTGAGACAGCGATCGTTGCAAGATAGTCTCCGACGCCGTCCTTTTCTTCAAGATCGGCTTCCTGTCCGAATACAACGAAGGGGTTTCGAGGCAGCTTGGCGGCGGGGAGATACTCGGCGGCGCTTTTGTAAACTTGGTGCAGGACTTCAACGGACCATACAGCCATGTTACATCGCAATCTTTCAACCTGGTGAAACTTGTTAGAATACATAGACACAACTTTAATATCAGATTTTGCCGGGGTTATGGAATGCGAGATCATGCGGTACTGACCAATTGAGGGTCTCGGGAGACACCGTTCCCAAGTTATTCTTCAATTTTGCCCAAGTCCGCCAAGAAGCATTCTCTAATCTCGCGCCATTGCTGTACACGTCTCTGCGGCAAACGACATATTTCCAAGAAGCCCAAATATCTTCCTCTTTCCACTCATGGGAGAGATAATCGACATGTCTGGTCGGCTCCTCTTCAACCGAAGTATCATCAGCGGCTGGTGTATGTACATGCAAACAAGGGGGGTCTGTGACAAATGACTCCGATGCCTGGTCCGAGGCAACAACTGATACAGGCTCATCCAAGTCGTTGAAGTGGCTCGAATCATATGAAGGTAGGATGATCTCGTCGTCGCTATCGTTGCTCACGGAGAGAGACAAACTGCTAAGGGTTGCTGGAGTAGGAGGTAGCTGCTCCTCGGTTGTCGGTGCAAAGTGAGGTGAGGGAGGAACCGAGGACGGGGGAGACGAAGTGATTGGACTGGGACAATCTCGCTGAGAGTAATGGTGTAGGGGATTTTTGAACATGGCGATATCGGGTGAGTCCAGGTAATAAGTTTGGGCCATGGCGCGTCGCTGGAAATTCAGCGGAGACTGAGAGAGCTTTTCCCGCGAGACAGGTAGCACAGCAATCATCGTACTGAGGACGGAGAGATCGCAGTCGTCAAAGGACTTCAGAATGAAGACAAACTTGAGGAAGTGGTTTGACAACTATATTAAAAGCTTCGATACAACTGAACGAGGGAGCAAGCCTGGTAGGGAAAAAGGGAAAAGTGTAAAAAGGCAAAGAGAAAGGAGAAGAATTATTCAATTGACGATCCGAGGAAGCAACTCAGATTTGAAGCATATGCGAAGGAGGAACTTATAGATCGGAGAGGATGATCGATCATGAGATCCATGAGAGTTTCTGTAACTCGAGGGACAACTAAGATTGGAGATAATCTGAGTGTTTTGATGTTAATAGCGTCAAAGCCCTTTCGTTCTCATCCTTCTTTCCTTCGTGCATCGCCTTCTTCAAACGACAGCCTGGAATCCATCAGTGGGCACTGGGCAGGGGTCAAAGACGGACGAGTTTAGTTAGTACGGAGTACAGGAGTAAGGTAAGGGAGTTATCGATAGGAAGTGGCGGTTTTTTTTCGAGAAAGGCAAAACAAGGAAGAGGTCATGGCGGAAGAAGTGGAGATGCTAATGTCTGTTTGCAGTTTGCATGGTCCTTAGTCCCCTCTTTTCTTTCGGTTTTGAGTTCGGGTTCTGAGTCTCGGACAATAATTAAGAGTTTTGATTTCAACTTGAGTTCCGAGTGTAGAGATACGACGGGTGGGGTACTAGAAGGAGGTTGATACCAGAGATAGATAGTTGATGGAAATGCTGAGCGGGTCACCTTGACTATCTGAGATAATTACTAACGAGGACAAAGGTACCCGAAAGGTAGATGGATGTGTACGTCAGGATGGCAGTACCCCAGGGGTAAGAGACACAATTACGCCATGAGCCTTTGATACTAAGGTACGGAGTGAATACATCTGTTATCTAGTTTGCACAATAATAATATTGTGTCAATAGCTCTCCAGCGCTGAAATCTACCTTAGGCAGGCTGAACGTTTAACAAAGCACCACCATACCATACCGACGACAGGCGACCAGTCAAGTCTCATCATGATAGGTACCTACCTTAGTTAAGTGTGGAAAGGCCGGCAGGTTTCATGATCTCATTGGGCGACCGTTGTCTTTCTTAGGTAATCTTGGTGGCTTGCCAAAACTTTCATCTGCGTCCAAGTGGGGTTGTCCATCAGTTCTTAAGAGCTCCAGACCCAAAGAGTCAAGCGCTGGCGGTCGAGATTCATGATAGTCATGGAGGCGGCCGCTGGGCAAGTCCTATTCTAGATAACACCCATATCTGGCGCTAAATGAACTTAGAAGTGAATCTAAAGGTACCCAGGTGGATAGTCCGTAGTGGCTCGCTGTTGGTCAACAAACTGCTCCGTGTACTCCGTAAAATATACCACGGACCCCCCATGGGGAGAGAAAGTAAAAAAAAATGTGCAAGACGGTTCTGGAGGAGGGCGATATTATCTATGGTCTATCGACCTACTCTTGACTCCTGAAGTGGATGCTGAATCCCATCGTCGCTGATGAAATTAGATGGTCCGATCGAGCCGGGTGCAGCCATGAAGTAATGCTACGTAGGTTTAGATATAAGTATGAATAACAACAGAGGGGTTGTCACAGCAGTCATGATGATATTGATCCACTACCTAACGGTTTTCAGTATCCCAACTTGCTTGTGCAGTTATCGTAGCTCCAGACGTCAAAGTGAAGCCGAAAATGGTGTCGATCGGCGAAAGTAGACGCACTTCCATCTGTGAACAGCTACCAAAGCTACGGCTTGAGTAGCGTCTGTACTTCGTAGTGCACAGAGTAAATACGATGATTCGCCGGATTGGTGCTGTCGGAGTATGACGGGACGTTTCCCGAGAGACGCCAAGGAGATAGTACTCTCGTACAAATATAGGTAGTAGTAGGTACTTATACTTAGACATTGTTAACTTTGCCTTTGTATAGAAGGCCGCTGATTCGTCTAGGGATGAATGGCCATGGATGTACGGTACAGATAAGTGGGACTAAAGTCGAAATGAAATAACTTTCGGAGACTGAGCGACAGATAACGCAATTTGAACCATGTCTGCTGCATGAAATTAGACTGGAAATCCTAGCTATCCAATGGTCGATTTACATTAGAGAGCATGGTTAGAAACCTGCGAGAGGTTTATCTGTCTTTGTACGAAGTCAGTAGACTGAAGTCTCCTGGTGCAATATGCAAATATCACTTCATCTCCTCTCCCCTGTCTAGTCTATCGGATTCTATCGGAGCCATCAAATGCTGTTTCCAGCACCTTTCTAGAGAAAGTTTTGCTGAATCGTGAGTTATGTCATTAACAAGCACCTTGCACATCTCTTCCATTCCCAATGGGCAGTCATGTCCTATGTTGTCTATCTTGTCCAACTGTCCGTAGCGCGGCGCCACTAGCTTGGTGATCGGGGCTTTCTTGTGCCACACCCGGGTAGAAGGATCTGTGCACCCCCTCGGCCACGATGCAGCATGCCATAGATGCGTCTCGATGCAATAATGATAGCATCACAACAGACGGAAGCATTTGATACGGCGGATTGCAGCTCCAAGCTATGCGCAGCTAGATTCTTTCACTGCTGTCAGTTCCCGATTGCCAAAGTCTAAAACAGAAGACGATTGGCCGTATTACATCTAGCCTACCAATTGCTTGGTTATTGCCAGGTCAGCAATTTTTGATTATTTATGAGAACCTTAAGAATTGGGGTAGTCGAGAAGGGAGCTTCCGTGACAGCAGGCCAATCTGTTTTCTCGTACCTATATCCGACATGTCTAAATGGAGATGCGGCCTTCCATCGAGAATCGTCTAGATCTCTTATCAGCACTGCAATGGCAATTTTGGATTTGTATTATTATTGGGGATTCTATTTCAGTTCTAGAGCTTTTGGTTGTCTTCTGAGCGCAATCTTAGGACCGTGGTAAAGGAGTAGCGCGCATGGATACCATGAAGCGATTCGTCAATTACCACCTCACCGTTGCGTTGGCGGAGACGTCATGACTATCTTAGTTTCACAACTTGCCCCTCGCCGTAATCATCCTTGTTCTATTTCACTAGACTCAATTCAGGCCTGATGTAAAGAATTGTTCAGGAATGAGAGTACCACAGAGCAACAACTCATTATTATCCTTATCTGACCTACTCTTATTCTAGCTCCTTGCGAGAAAAGTCTTCAATGGGTAAATCAAACCATTAGTCAAGTTAATCTGCTTATTCGTCCTATATTACTATGGTAGGAGTTTTATGATGCTGTAGCAGAACTCCGTGTATGATCCAACGAAGCAACTCAATGCATACCAACCTACTTACCATGACTCCATGAGCGAGCGCCTGTGCTCCTGCATAACATCCAGACCAACTTCCGCCCACAACCGTTGCGTGCGTGGGGTCGTCTATTGGTTGTTATGCTGCCATATCTATCTATGGAGTACCTTCCTATCCGAAAAGTAACGCCAGCGGTGGCCACTGCAAGGGTTCAAGCGCGCGGGGGTACATTACTAGATTACTGTGGCAATGGACACTGCAGAGCCCCCACTTGATGAACTTGCAGAATTGCACAGGGGGGTATATATAGACTGAAATCATGGATGTAGCAGAACAGCAACAAGACCTGCAATAGACTCGGGTCTCATAAGTTGAATTAGTCGAATAGTCTGATGCGCGAATCACTTCGTCTGCTAGATAGTACTTGTTCCAGAGCACACTATTAGAATTATGTCACATGACCGTAGCTCAGACTACCGTCTAGCTATTAGCGGTTAGGCTCGATGGCCCCGCGCTCCGTTGTGTCAATATCAGTTGTTCTGTACACCTATCGCCTGAGCTTAGATTTCAGAAACTCATATCAAGATGGCTGAAGTAGCGCAAAATTCTTCCGCCGAGGTTCAGGCCAAACAAGTCGTCTATTGTGGTGGTAAGTCCCATGGCCCTCAATCCGATGCGAATATCCCTCTTCGGTCCATTTCCTATAATTGCAAAACTGAATCTCGCAATCTCTAGTCTGCACACTTCCTCCAGAGGTACGGGCATTCAGCCTTCCTGTCAGCAGTCCACCTGAATTTCCCTCGTTCGCCGTATCGAAGCAGGGCATGGGCAGCAGTAATCAAGATAATTGCAGCATATTAACTCGGAAGTGTTCCAGTACTGTGAATTCGGCGGTACCGCAAAGAAGTGCGAAGAATGGTTGAAGGATAATCATGCAGATTTATATCAGCGGCTGTACTCGGAAGGTATGCTTGTCCATCTTTGTCGCCTATCACCAGCAGTGAGAGGCCAACTGAGGTTCTTGGTGTAGAAGCCCTTAGCTCCAATCTGTCCGAGCTGTCAGTATCCGTTCGGGAGCGTGCAGCCAAAGATGCCGCCAAGAAGGAAGCGAAAGCTGCTGCTGCTGAAGCACGCGACGCCGAGCGGAAGGCAGCGGCCAAGATTCAGATCAAGCGTGTTGAGCGCAACAAACGCAAACATGTCACCGTTATCACAGGGTTGGAAGTACATGGTTTGGAAAACAAGAAAGTCGCAAAGGAACTGGGAAAGAAATTCGCTACTGGTTCCTCGGTAACGAAGTCGCCCGCAGGGGTCGAGGAAATTACAGTGCAAGGTGACGTTAGTGAGGACGTTCAAGAGTGGCTTCTGGAAGTATATGGGAAGGAAATTCCTGAATCCAACATCGAGCTTGTCGAGGATAAGAAGAAGAAGACAAGCGGCTGAAACGATGACCTTGTGAAGCCGCACGTTCAATTCTGGGAGCTTTTCTCCCCACATGTTGAGTATCCTGACAATATGAATTCAAAACGACAATATGAGAGTGTGACGCATGATAACCCCGAGCAAGAACATCTGTCGCTGGCTGATTTATGATCTTCCATCAAAGTTCATCAAGTTTTCTCAGGGGATCCGAGCTAGCACGAGTTGTCTTTGCACTGAACGTTGGAGAGGTCGGTGTAGGGGCCGAATGTGACTTCCGATAACATCCCGGACGAGACTCGCTGCCAGAGTGATCTCGAGACCATACTTCGCCAGAAGTTGGGTCCGGTAGATGGATGGCTAGTGCAGAAGCGCGTCTGTCCCCCATTTCAACGGGTACAGGACTTTCAAGTCCTGGAACACAGATTGCCGGGGATTTCTGGCTAATGAGAACGACCAAGAAAACCAGTACGCTAAGAGCAACAACTACCCAGAAGATTCGAAGCCGTCGACCGACTCGTGTCTGCCATTCCACTTCCCTTTTTTCCCAAAGATCGATTTGGTTGCGGATTGCTTCCAGTCTCTTCCCAAGTGCGTCGGCTTTCTTTTTCCCTGATCGCATACGCTCTTCTAGCCTTTCTATTTTTCGCATATGGGGCTGAAAATCCTTCAGGTCTCCAATCTGTCTCCGAATATCGCCATCCAACACAGATGTCTCCCGCTCAAAGTCATCAAATATGGTTGATGCGGAATCAGAGAGTTCCTGAAAAGATGCAAATGTTGAAGTGAGAGCAGCGATCTTCTCAAGCAGACTGTAGTATGTATAATCCAACCTGCGTGTAATATCTGTTGCGAGAGTGCCGATCGTAGACAGGGCGGATCGTAAGTGCCTAAGCCATTTGCTGAAGTCAGATAGTTTGTCGATAGACGTTGGGAACGACCTTACTCCTCTCCTTGTTGTCTTCTAGACTTCACGAGCTCTAGATCGTTCAATGAGCGTACATCGTGTGCTATCAGGAAATCAGTCCTCTGGTTGTTATGTTTCCCATCAAGTATAGTGCCTTTTCCATTTCCAGACACCAAGCCCGTGGTAGAATCTGATCCCCAACGCGATCGAGTTGTCTCGCGCGTCGTCGGCTTGAGCAGTTTATCATCAGCCTCGCCTAACCCTTGCGCTCCCGTCCAAGTTGGCAACGACCCTCTGGCATCGGCAGGAGTGACGGAGCGGTTCATTTTTGGCGGGAAAGTGCTGTCATGAGACTAAGGTAGCTGTATTTGTGTCTATCGCTATTTCAGCCGGCTGATGGGTCTCGACAGCTGGACGATCGTGCGCGCGATTTCCTCGAAATGCATTGAACCAGTAGACAGTAAGATTGGGTCAAGTTAATTGTACTTTGGAAGCGCTTCTGTACTGATAACTGTCTTTTGTCCGCTGCGAGCGAAGCAGATGTTGTCATCGAGTAGGTGGGTCTTGAACCCGCGCCTGTCGGACGGAGAGTACCAGACATCCATTTTGTTCGAGAAGCCGCGACGCCCCCATCTGTACAAATCGACGGGCACCCTTCGTCAGATCTATTTCTCTTCTTTGAAACATAGCCGGATATCCTTCAGATTCCCAGAATCGGAATATTTAGATTTGCGTTGTAGACTCTCTAGGGCTTAATACCCACACCTCCTCAATGACATAGCTGCAGCATGCGAGATCTGGCCCCGATCAATATCTTGAGCTCTAATCGAGCGAATGTCTTGAGAAGCCATCAAAAAGATGGAAATGAGGATTATGAGAATGTCATTTTGATTCATGGCCTATATTCACAGAGATATTCTTCCGTCAAAACATTGCATGTCATACAAATCAGGTCAGGAAGAGACTGAAACAACTAAAAATAAACCCAACTCCTGCATCGCCGCCAATTTCTCGAGTAATGCAATATCTGAAGAACCGAAGAACTGAGAGAAAAGAAAAGAACCTGGTATCTGCCGCAAATGTGAATGGGTACAGTGGTGCATCGGGATCGGACACTGCGGGTAGGACCGTAGGAGGAAGATAATTCAAGACGGCACTGAAGCAACAGCGGAGAGAGATTCTTCTGCTGTCATGAGTGGAGTAACTTATTGCGCTTCTCCCTTCGCTTCAGCCGCTCAACACGTTTGCGATGCATTTTCTCCGCCATTTTCTCGTAGCGTTCCTTTTCTTCCTTGGCAGCTCTCCGATCCTTGATCTTTTGTATTTGGGCCTGACCAGTATCGTCAGCAACGGAGAAAGTCCATGAAGGACTTTGCGTCTTTTCCCTACCTTCCGTTCAGCCTCTTTTTCTTCCCTCAGCTCACGTTCGTGTTCCTTAACTGCCTCCTGACGCTTGCGTGCTTCCAACCTTTTCTCATAGCTTGTCAGGCCTGAAGTGGGACGAAATGGTTTCTTGGAGTCGTGCCAGTTTTTGCCTGTGGAAACGGATAGTTATGTCAGCTGGAGCAAGCTCGAGGAGACAGCAGAACAGCTGAAAACTTTTCAAGAAACAGTACGGTAATGTAAGAGACGGAGGGGATAAGATCGTACCATTCTTTCTCATACCCTTGACGGGGTTGACAGTTGAGGTTGGGATTGCCGACGACATTGTCAGCAGAATTATAAAAGAAACTATGGAAGGACGGATTTGTAACAATATGAGGAGAAGAGCCGGCCCTGATGTGCGAAGGAAAACGGGCTACGGCAGTACGGAGCAGAGTACAAAATAGTTGTAGTGGTGGCACTACGTTAATATAACTACGATCTTTCAGTGACCAATTTTTATTAGCGGCTCGCAAATTTCTGAGGAAAAAGTTATCTTAGACGGATCAGATAACCGGATCTCGGCTGAAGTGGTGGTCCGATCCCCTCCATTGGCGCCTGAAAAAGAAATGCCTCAATCGAACCTCCCTCATTTCACCTCCCGTTCGCGAGATTTACGGTCGCAATAGAGCGCCACAGAACAAGTCTCCACAATCAATCATGTGCATTGGCCTTTGAGGCCTATTCCCACTCATAAGCGATGCGCACTTAGCGGCTTCACCGAGTGTTGATCGGGCACAGAAGATAATTCAAAATCAATCCAATCCATATACACCGACCCTCCCGTTCCTTCTCCTCTGGAAAATCAGACCTATACAATGCTTCACCAATAGGTCTTACACTACATCCCTTCGCCTTTTCCATCTCTTTCGCGGCTTATCGTCTTCCATCACCTGCACTTCAGAGCTCAACAGCTCGTTCTCTGAACTTAATGGCGGCCGCAGAACATGTGCTTGCAATCGACAATGAGAAATCAATGGAGCTGCCTGTCCTGCCGCCTAACCAAGGTTTCGAGGCGTTCAAAGACTTAATCTTTGGATCTGTAAGCGCTTGGCTTCTTCACGTCTAAACGAATATCGCTCACACTCAAATTTATCTAGGCAGCTGGAATGGCTGGCAAGGTCATAGAATATCCTTTCGACACTGTGAAAGTGCGACTTCAATCACAACCAGCTCATATTCCACTTCGGTACCAAGGCCCTTTGGACTGCTTCCGCCAGTCAATTCAGGCGGATGGTCTACGAGGGCTCTACCGAGGCATTAGTGCTCCAATGGCAGGTGCTGCCATAGAGAATAGCTGCCTCTTTTTCAGCTACCGCATCATTCAGGATATTCTAAGGGCCACCTGTTACCCCACGGCTGATTCTATGCCTTTCTCAGCTCTGTTGTTCAGTGGTGCTGCTTCCGGGTCTATCACCTCGCTTGCACTTACCCCGATTGAGCTCGTCAAATGCAAAATGCAGGTACCGCTTGAAGCTTCTAGCAGCAAGATGCCCGGGCCATTGACTCTCGTCGCCGCTATATTTCGTCAGGACGGTATTCTTGGTTTCTGGAGGGGCCAGATGGGAACGTTGATCCGTGAGACCGGAGGAGGAGCTGCCTGGTTTGGAGGCTATGAAGGAGTATCCGCTTTCTTTCGGAAATACCATTCAACAGCGTCGCCTCGCGACTCTGAGTCACTTCCAATCTATCAACAAATGATCGCAGGCGCCGCAGCGGGTATAAGCTACAATTTCCTGTTCTATCCGGCTGATACAGTCAAATCACGGATGCAGACCGAGGACATCAATAGCCCAGGAAATCGTGGTCAGAGGCAAACATTCTGGAGTGTTGGCAGAGCTTTATGGAAGCAGCAGGGGCTGAGGGCATTGTATCGAGGCTGCGGTATTACATGTGCTCGTTCTGCGCCCAGCTCAGCGTTCATCTTCACCATATACGAAGGGCTGCGGAATTATTTCTCATGAGCATAATTGTTTATTACTTGCCCGTGTCTTCCCATTGACTTTTACTTCAAACCAACACCCCCTCTTCCCTCCTCCTCCTTCCTCTAGCTTGCTCGCGTTTATGATACCTCACTTGACGTATAGATCTTCTGTCATCTTCTGCGTTACGGCAGTCAACATCCTGGGCCAATCTGGTATTGGCATCTTTACAATAGGAATCCTTGTTCTTTCATTCTGAAATGTGGCACAGATACCCACGACGCTAAACTCGGTGCTGGGATACCATATACATAGATCAAAGCATAGAAAGGAATATCATTGTTTAGACTGATTAATTTCCTTGAACTTCGCCATGAATACATTCATGCAAAATCTGGTCAATCCAACAGTTTGCCTTGTTTCCACTTCCTATAGGACTTTCCACTTTTTCCAGAAGGCGGGGTAGAAAATTGGGAACAGCTCGCTGCGGAACCACCACTAGAGACCCTGTACCTCACCTGCGACTACAATCCAGATAGCCCGTCCATCAAAGCTCTTTTGTTCTTCTATAAGTGCGCTTGACTACTTTAAACTTTGTCCTTAGCCATGGCAACACTTTCAGGTCTTACAATGCAAGAACTAGAGACACTCTCGTCCAAGGCCATCGCTGCAAAGGCCAATGCTTATTGTATGTTCCACAACAAACATCATTCCTCGATCACATGGAGGATACCCTTTCTTTACCATCTACGTATGGGGACAAGTTTTGAAAT